ATTAATGAACAAATAATAAAAGAGTTGAACCAAGAGGAAATCGTACACCGGAAGGAAAGCATTGAGAGCTTATCTAAGTCTCAAATAATAGGTGAAATAGGTTGGTTTTTGTGAATATAAATGACAATGATAGAGAAGTCTAGGCAATTCTAGGGAGACTGCACAGGGAATACGATCCTTGCACCTTGTTACAAGGGTATTATAACTCTTAGGATGAAGCAGGACCCTCTAAATTAAAATTAATAATTATAATTATGTGTCAAAATGTGGATATCTTTGTCGTTAGACTCGATAGGCTAATATGATGTTGTTGGTATTACGCTTGTCGTGACTATAGGAAAATATATTGTTGAGTGTTATTAGAGACTGGCAAAATGAATTTCAATACAAAAGTAAGACCTCTTAATTCGCCTTGGAGAGCATTAGTATAAGTACATGAAATTAATGAAATACCTAATCAGCAACTAAGCGCTTACAAAATTCATTTTAGTAAGAAAGCAAAGTACAAGCATAAAAGCTTAATTAAATGGTAGAAATCGGCGTCTACTTTTTTGTGACTGGATAAGTAAACCTTTTCAGAAAGCAAGGCTATGTGAAATTCAACGTAAAACATCAGCTCTATTGATATAATTGTGGGAAAATCCCCCTAATAGTCCTTCATCACTTTAAACGAAATAAGATGAAAGTAACTAATATATCTGATTTGCTGGTAGTCTCGAAAACCTAATAAAGACCATAGAATGATTATTATTACAAACCAAAAGATACCGATTCCCAGTCATTATGCTAAAGACAAGTTGTTAACTTTTGTCAACTCAAGCAGTATCTATACTTACTCGTGGCTATGGTTCCAGGAGGTGGGAATTGCAAGAGAATTCTTGATACCTATGACCGACAGTAATGCATAAGTTTAGTGCGATCACTAGGCGTCTTGCAGACCGACCGTCCTGCTCACTTTAAACAGGTGATAAAAGTAGTTGCGAACTTTGAGAATTACCTCTTTAGTTCGATAATTAATAAACTGAACAACCCTATATCTAAGCCACACTTAGCTTAGGAAGAAGCATACAAAAGGCTTAGACTTAGCATAAGGGTAACGCAGTATGATTGTTTAATTCGATTTGTGGAAATTTGTTTTACCTTGATGATAAGGATAAAGAATATATAGGGTAGATGAGAAGCTCAAAATATAGTATGCATTACTAATACTTATTTCAGGCCTTTGGGAAATTAGGCCGTCGTGAAGGATGGAGGAAATAAAAACAAGCCACTGAGCCGCAATCGAAGCAGCTTGGATGTTAGATCAAACCAACTTCTTAATGTAAAATTAGTCGATCTCCTCATGGTAATAAATGTCTTTAAAAGAAATGGGTAAAATTAACCAGCAAAGGAAAGCTATGTTAACGTAAACCAACGTGCCTTCGGGCAAGTGATAGCGTTTTGTTGCATCAACAGCATGGCCATTGATATGAGAGCGCCCTGACGTACAAAGTGAACTGTACCATCTAACAGAGACTCGAGCAAAGAAATTGCCTCCTTCATGGCGGTACCTGCACAAGCAATGCCTGTTGCCATTGCTGCTCCATACCGTAGATGAGGATGATAAGATTCAGAAAGCAGGTTGACAAGAGAGGGCACCTGATCAGGAGTCCTGGTGGCAAAAATAATGAACAATTGAATGAGGCTAAGTAAGGAAATTTTGAATTCAAAAGCATTAAAAGAGCATTAGCACAAAACAAAAGCTTGTAGATATGAAAACCAAGAGGGTGTGGCCTTCTGTCTGGTCACAGTTTCTTTTAGCTTTATAATGTTGGC